ATTATGATCGTCGGACTTTGAGCTTGCATGTGTGCCGTGGGGTATAACTTTGTCGGACATTATTTCCTAGCCAGCATATGAAAAGTTGCTGCCGTGGTGTACCTCAGCGCGGTGACGACGACACTGAGGATTGACAGAGGATGTACGTAGGTAGGATCTTGCTGCGAGAAGTCGCTCAGAAGAGGTGTTACTCGTCTTGGCTGCGGGTAAATCTCTCGGTCAGGGTTGAGTCTCAGCAGCACAGTTTTCCATTCGCTCCCGAATTTTAACCGAGAGTTGTCATTTGATGGTACATTTAGCAAGCAATCCTTGAGTTTTGTTAGACTTTTCACCCATGCTTTTGGGGGCGGGCTGGTGAGAGCCAGAAAGGACACTACACCTCTAGGGGCCGCCAGCTCCGAGATCCCCTGCCAACTCTGTTAATGCTCATTTGAGATATTATCCGTGGCGCACGACGGGGACGTGCAGCAGGAGTGTTGCATGAGGTTCCGTAAAACCAAAACAGTGAAGGACTGGCACCCGAGTAAGTATCTCCTTATACACGTCACATCAGACTTAACTTTGCCTCATGCCTGTGACCGAAATCACCGCGCCACAGTACATTTACAAAACAGGTGTGCGACAGGGATGTCGCCTCTCCTATTTTTACTGGCTATAGAATGGATTATGAAAATAGTAACTACCAACACAAAGATTGGAATTCAGTGGAGCCCTACTAGACAGTTTGATTACTTTGATAATCTGGACTTCGCTGATTATAACGCAATCCCTAATGGTCTATGTGACACTGACCATAAAATAGTTGTGTTAACAGCAAAACATCTTACACTAAAGAAACACAGAAAGAAATTAAACAAAAACAAGGATCTCATCAAGATAGCAAATCTGAAACAGGAAGGAGTAAAAGAACAGTTACAACAGAAAGTAGAGACAGCATTAAAACAACTTCCACATGTAGTTGGCAATATTGAGGAAGAATGGAGTATATATAAAAACACTATGCTTAGTATTGCAGAAGAATTATGTGGAAAACGGAAGAGTGGAAACAGACAGGGAAATAACAAATATTCACCTTGGTGGTGCGAAGAAGTAAAAGAAGCAATTAAAAAGAAAAAAGACATATAAACAGTGGATAAAATCAAAGAAAGAAGAAGATTATATAAACTATAGACTGCAAAGGAGAGAAACCAACAGGAGTGTCAAGAAAGCAAAACAAGTATCCTGGGAACGTTTCGGTGAGTCACTAGCAGAAAATGAAAAAACAGCCAGCAGAAAATTTTTCAAAGTAGTTAAAAATATGCGGAAAAGAGATGAGAGCTACAACCCCACTGAAATAATTAATGATAAGACAGGAAGGCCATTGATAGATCCCCCCGAGATAGCAGAAAGATGGAGGGCATACTTCAATGAGCTCTTTAATCCTCTAGGAGATCATCAGGAAAGAACAACTGAAGAGCACAGAGCAACAGTGTTTGAACCACACAGAATAATTCAAGCAGCAGGTGAAAGCAGCATCAGATGGCTTCACAGAATATTCAATGCAGCACGGGTACAACAAAAGGCCCCTATTGATTGGCAACATGCAATAGTTATACCATTGTGGAAGAACAAAGGAAGCAAACGAGAATGCGGTCAATATCGAGGCATCTCTCTTTTAAGCCATGTTGGCAAAATGTATGCCAAGATAATAGAAACAAGACTGAGACCAGTGATAGAACCACAGCTGGCAGAAGAACAGATGGAATTTAGGAGAAATAGAAGCTGCACAGATGCAATCTTCACACTTAAACAGTTAATAGAAAAAAAACATTGAATACAATAAGAACTTATTTGTGGCATTCGTAGACCAGGAGAAGGCATTTGACAGAGTAGACAGACAATTACTATGGAAAATAATGGCAAGATCTGGAGTAAGCGAACACATCATCGAAGTGTGCAAAAGTTTATTCAGGGATTGTAGAAGTGTAGTTAGAATAAATCAGGGAACATCTCATCCTTTCACAGTGACATCTGGAGTAAGACAGGGGTGTGTCTTATCACCACTGCTGTTTATCACCTATATCGACAGTATATGCAAGAATGCCAAGCCCATAAATGAAGATCTTAGTAAGACCAACGAATTACTCTTTGCAGATGACCAGGCCTTGATAGCAGATACAGCCATGAAATTGCAACAACATCTAACATCCATGAATGAAGAATGTAAAACAAATAATATGAGAATCAACACTGAAAAGACAGAAGTAATGTCAATAGGAAAAAAGAAGACAGATCTAAACATACCAATAGAATACAAAGGCATTAAACAGGCAGCTGAGTTTATATATCTGGGAACTACATTTACCGAAGATGGGAAATTGGATAAAGAAATTGACATTAGATGCAGTAAAGCAAACCAAGTACTGGGACAGCTAGCCCCCCTCTTACAGCATAAGACAATCCCAATCAGCACAAAGAGACATCTTATTCAAAGCATATTTATTCCAACTCTGTGCTACCAGTGCCAGACATGGTCACTCACAACAAACCATAAAAGAAAATTAGTAACCACGGAAATGAGATGTCTGAGAAGGGCTGTAGGAGTGACCATAAGAGATAAGATCAGGAATGAGATCATAAA